AGGCTGTGGTGGCTGGGAGTGTGCCACTGCACTCCAGTCTGGGCAACAGGGTGAGACTCCAACTCAAAAAAAAAAAAAAAAAAGAATCTACAAGGAACTCAAATGTGCTGAAAAGAAAAAAACAAGCCAGGCTCAGTGGCTCAGCCTGTAATCCCGCGCCTTTGGGAGGCTGAGGTGAGTGGATTGCCTGAGCCCATGGGTTCGAGACCCGCCTGGGCAGGCGAGACCTCATCTCTACAATAAATCAAAAATGAGCCGGACATGGTAGCGCGTGCCTGTAGTTCCAGCTACTTGGAAGGCTGAGGCGGAAGGATCGCTGGAGCCCAGCAGGTCGAGGCTGCGGTGGCTGGGAGTGGCCACTGCACTCCAGTCTGGGCAACAGAGTGAGACTCCAACTCAAAAAAAAAAAAGAAAGAAAGAAAAAAACAAACAACCCCATTACAAAGTGGGCAAAAGATATGAACAGATACTTCTCAAAAGAAGACATATGAATGGCCAACAGATACATGAAAAAATGTTCAAACTCACCAGTCATCAAGGAGATGCAAATTAAAACTACACTGAGATACCACCTAACTCCAGTCAGAATGGCCATTATCAATAAACTCAAAAAATAACAGATGCTAGAGAGGATGTGGCAAAAAGGGAACACTTCTACACTGTTGGTAGGAGTGCAAACTAGTACAGCCTCTGTGGCAATCAGTGTGGCAATTCCTAAAAGCTCTAAAAATCGACCTTCCATATGACCCTGCAATCCCCCAACTGGGAATATACCCTGAAGAACTCAAATCACTCTATAAAAAAAGATGCCCGCACACATATGTTTATTGCAGTATCGCTCACAATAGCAAGATCATGGAACCAACCATGCTGTCCATCAAAAGAGGACTGGATTTTTAAAATGTAGCACATATACACAATGGAATATTATGTAGCCATAAAAAAGAAAAAAAATCATGAATTTTGCAGTAACCTGGATGGTATTAGAGTTTTATAATACTGAGAGATCTCTCACAGAAACAAAGATCTGAGTATCACATGTTCTCACTCATACGTGGACCTTGAACAACTACCGTAACACGATAAGAAAAGGATTGACAGTGATGGGAAACTATGGGGGGGGGGGGGGGGGGGGCAGGGAGGGGAAGGGAGGTGGGATTTTAACAGTAGTCAATATCTGTCTGGGGAAGGGGGGCACACCTCGTCAACAAGGGTACCTGCACAATGAATATTTGTATACCTAACCCATAACTGTACCACACAATTTTTTAAAAATCGCAATTTAATACTTGAGTTCTAAAGTTCTTTTCCCAGTTTAGCCATAGTATATGTGTATGTATAAGAGCTGCAAGGTGAGCCGGGCTCAGTGGCTCAGCCTGTAATCCCACGCCTTGGGAGGCTGAGGTGAGTGGACTGCCTGAGCCCGCGGGTTCGAGACCCGCCTGGGCAACTTGGTGAGATCTCATCTCTACAATAAATAAAAAAATTAGCTGGATGTGGTAGCACACGCCTGTAATTCCAGTTACTTGGAAGGCTGAGGCGGAAGGATCGCCGGAGCCCAGCAGGTCGAGGCTGCGGTGGCCAGGAGTGGCCACTGCACTCCAGTCTGGGTGACAGTGAGACTCAACTCAAAAAACAAAAACAAAAACAAAAACAATTAAAAAATTTAAAAAATTAAAGCTGCAAGGTTACTTCCTGCTTCTTTTTTTTTTTTTAAAACAAATGTATTTTTATAAACAGGTCAAACTGTTATTTTCTATGTGTGTGTTCTAAAAAATACTTGCGTTTTTACCATCCCATTGAACATTCTGGAAAAAAAAATTCAAGAGACAAACCTTTTGAGAAGAAATGATGTTGATGAATCACAAGCATGGGTACTTGGGCATTCAAGGCCTTGTGGCCGGATACATTCACACATTTTCTATCAGATTTGGCCCCTAGCATTAACCTTTCCAGTTAACATCATGGTCAATAAAAAATTTTCAGTTCACTTTGAGAATTTCTTCACCAGTTATTTTATATCAAGCGCTTTACAAATTAATGTGGCTCCAGGTATTATCATTAGAAATATAAGAAAGATCAACAAAATTACCAAAATACATGCTTTCGCTCAATTATAAAGTATCGGAACACATTTCAAACCTCTTGTGATAATTTTGAGCATATTAAAATGCATCAACTGATAGCATCACTTAATAATGGCATCTCTTTTAGTCCGGCTGACTTTTTATTGTGATGAAATATGCAAAACAAAATTTACCATTTCAACCATTTTTAACTGACCCATTCAATTTGTCATTAGGGACAGTACCTCCCCCCAATCCAGGTGGGATACATTCCAAGACCCCAGTGGATGCCTAAGACCGTGGATAGTACTGAACCTTACATTGACTATCTTTCCTATGCATATGCATGATAAAGTTTGATTTATAAGTTGTAACAACAACAAATTAATAACTGATCCAACAGAGCAATTTTAAGTATGTCAGCATCACTGCTCTTGCACTTTGGAGTCATTAAGTAAGATAAAGGTTACTTGAACACAAACACTGTTATTGTGTTCAAGTACCTGCCATATTGTTTTCTTAAGGTGACTGTCATTTGACATTCCCACCAGCAATGCACAATTTCTGTACAACCAACAAATGGCTTCTGATTGTTTTTTGTTTTAATAACAGCCACTATCCTAATAGACTGAAGTGGTATCTCATCGTGGTATGTATGTATGTATGTATGTAATTATTTATTTTGAAACAGGGTTTCACTCTGTCACCCAGGCTGCAGTATACTGGCACAATCACAGCTCACTGCAGCTGCAAACTCCTGGGCTCAAGTGTTCCTCCTGCCTCAGCCTCCTGAGTAGCTGAGACTACAGAAACCACTGCATCCAGCTTCATTGTGGCTTTGATTTGTCATTGTCCTGATGGCTAATGATGAATATCTTTTCATGTGGTTATTGGTCATTTGGACAACTGTCTTTTCAGATACTTTAGCCATTTTTAAAATGCGTTGTCTATTATTGAGCTGTGTTTTTATATGTTCTAGATATATGTTCCTTATCATATGCACAATTTGAAAAAACCTTCTCCCATTCTGTGGTTTGTCTTTTTACTTCCCTGAAGGTATCTTTTGAAGCACAAATTTTTTGTTGTTGTTAACTTTGATGAATCCAGTTTATTCATTTTTTTTTCTTTTGTTGCCTATTCTTTCAGAATCATATCTAAGAATCTACTGCCTAATCTAAGGTCGGGAAGATTTACACCCATATCTTCTATTATGCATTATATGGTTTGAGCTCTTACATTTAGTTATTTGATTCATATTAAGTTAATTTTTATATATGGTATGAGGTAGGGGTTTAAAATCCATTCTTTTGTGAGTGGATATCCAGTTTTTCCAGGACCATTTGTTGAAAAGACTATTACTGCCTCCCAGTGAATTATCTTGGCATCATTTAAAAAGACTAATTTACTCTGAGAAAGGACAAAGAAAAGTCCGGAATTTATTTGTTAAAAATTGTGTACTTATTCTTACATTTTAAAACTTCGGTCACCTTCAAAGTACTCTCCGCTTGATGCAATTCACCTATCAAGACACTTTTCCCACTGCTCAAAACAGTTTTCGAACTTGTCAATTTTGATGCCTTTTAGTGCTTCCACTGTTTTTTTGTTTCACCTCTTCCACATCAACAAAACATTTCCCTGTGAGGACTTTTTTCATCAGGAGAAACAAAGTCACTCAGGGACAAAATCGAGTGAACAGGGAGGGTGGGGCACAGGGGTCATGCTGTTTTGGGTCAAAAACTGCTGAATACTCAGTGTGGTGTGGGCAGATGCACTTGTAAATCACCCATCATGAAATGGGCAAACATATTGAAAGACTCTCCAAAGAAAAACTCACTGAAGCTGAACACAGCATCTCACAACAATGCCAGCTGGTGCACTGATGCTGACGGGTTCCTAGAACCCTTACCTAGCAGGGGAAGCCTATACTACACCAGGCCTGCCCTCCAAAAGATATTTTCATTTTGGGGGGTCCCCCCTCACATAAAGGTGAGGATTTGCTGCTGGACTCCCAGTTGTGTTCCATTGACCTACATGTCTATCCTCACAGAAGTACTCCTTGCCTTGATTACTACAGCTTTATAGTAAGTTTAGAAATCAGGAAGCGTGACTCCTCCACCTTTGCTAATCTTTTTCAAGACTGATCTGCCTATTCTGTCTTGTGTTTGGAGAATATTTTTGCTGGGTAAAGAATTCCAGATTTACTTATTTATTTAATGCATTATAGATGCTGCTCCACTTTATTTTGGGCTGCATTGTTTCTGAAAAGAAGTCTACCGACATCCTTATCTCTGCTTCTCTAAATGCAATGTGTCAATATCTGGCAGCCTTTATGACTTTCTCTTTATCACTGGTTTTGAGCAATTTGAGTATACTGTGCCTTGCTGTATTTTTTCTCCATGTTCTTGTGTGTAGGCTTTGTTGAAGTTCTTGTATCTTTGAGTTGATAGTTTTTATTAAATTTGGAAACATGTTAGCTACTATTCCTTCAAATATTTTTTCTGTTCCCTTCTCATCTCCTTCAGGGACTCCAATTAACCCAATATTATTCTACCTGAAGTTGTCACATAGCTCACTGATGCTCTTTTTCATTTAAAAAATCCTTTTTTTTAAAAATAGTTTCTATTGCTGTATCTTCAAGTTCACCAATATTTTCCATAGTGAGTAATCTGATGCTAATACTATCCAGTTTTTAATCTCACCCACAAGTTTTCATCTCTGAAAGTTCAATTTTGGTCCTTAAAAAAATATATATATAGCCAGGCTCGGTGGCTCAGCCTGTAATCCCGCGCCTTTGGGAGGCTGAGGTGAGTGGATTGCCTGAGCCCGCGGGTTCGAGACCCGCCTGGGCAGCGAGACCTCATCTCTATAATAAATCAAAAAATCAGCCGGGCGTGGTAGCGCACGCCTGTAGTTCCGGCTACTCGGAAGGCTGAGGCGGAAGGATCGCCGGAGCCCAGCAGGCCGAGGCTGCGGTGGCCAGGAGTGGCCACTGCACTCCAGCCTGGGCGACAGAGTGAGACTCCAACTCAAAAAAAAAAAAAAAAAACCAAAACAACAACAAAAAAAATGTATATATATATATCAGTTGGGCACAGTGGCTCATGCCTATAATCCCAGCACTTTGGGAGGCCAAGGTGAGAGAATTGCCTGAGCCCGTGGGTTTGAGACCTGCCTGGGTAGCAAGACCTCATCTCTACAATAAATAAAAAAAATCAGCCGGGCATGGTAGTGGGTACCTGTAATTCCGGCTACTCGGAAGGCTGAGGTGGAAGGATCGCCGGAGCCCAGCAGGTCGAGGCTGCGGTGGGCGGGAGCGGCCACTGCACTCCAGTCTGGGTGACAGAGTGAGACTCCAACTCAAAAAAAAAAAAAAAATTCCACATCTCTACTTAGTTTTTTTGAATATATGGAATATACTGTTAGTGCTTCACGTGCTTATCTGCTATTTCTAACATCTGTATCAATTTTCAATTTATTAGCGTTTCTCATTTTTTAACACATTTCCTGCTTCTTTGCAGGTTGGTAATTTTATTAGATGTGAGACATTATGAGTTTTATCTGTTGGGTACTGGATATTTTTAGTGTTGATGAGCTTTGGTTTAGGATGTGGTTATTTGGAAATGATTTAATTCTTTCAGCTCATGCTTTTAACATTTATTAAGTAGGACTGAAGCAGTGCTTAATCTAGGGCTAATTATTCTCCACTACCAGCAAAACAATTTTCTGTGTACTCTATCCAATACTTCATGAGCCATGAGATTTTTAGTCTTGCTGGTGAGGACAGGCACTTTTCTTGGCCCTGTGTGAGCACCGGGCACTTCCAATTCTTTCAGGTGATTCTTTTCCTAACCTCACATCTTTTCCTTCCATGCATGTGCTGTTCAGCTTTCTCTGTACAGTTCTCTCTCTTTTCCAGTACCTGTTCAATGAACTATAGACACCTTGATCTTTCTGGATGCTCAGTTCCATCTAATCCACTCAGAAAGTCTGCCAAGCTCAGTCTGGGCTTCCCCACTTGTACCACGGCCTGGAAACTCTCTCAAGGCAGTAATCTAAGGCACTCATGGGCTTACCTCATCTGTTTCCCATCTCTCAGGGATTATGGTCCCTTGTTGCCTGATGTCAATGTCTTAAAAACTGTTGCTTCATGTATTCTGTCCATTTTTTATTGTTTCAAGCAAGAGGAAATAAATCCAGTGCCTGTCACTCCATCTTGACCAGAAGTAGAAGTCTCAAGATAGTTTTAAAACATCAGTTTGTCTACAAGTTTCCCAAAGATTTGCTTCCCTTTATAAGTAAAACTCTTCTTCCTTTCCATAAACTACCCACTTAAAAATACTTCTGAGAAATCAGTTCCTTGAATCTGTGTAGCACATCATAGCTAACACCAAAACTTTACATATTGAGATAACTGGTTTGTTTTGGAAAAAATGTAACTTGTGTCATACTGCTAATAAATTCATCTTCATGTGAAAAAGAATGGCTAGCACAAAATCCATAGAAAATTTTGAAGGTCAGCCTCTCTTGGATAGATTCAAATCCTTACATGTACTAAAAACAAAAATCTCATCTAGGGCTTTAATATAAGGATTTCACTTTGCATTTACTCACTGTGGCGGGTATTGGCACTGATTGTCTCCACCATGTTGATATCATACTGGGTTGAGCTAGCCCTCTGAAGGTGGCCCTTCCTGACAGGAAAGAAAAGAGAAACACAAAAATGGCTAATAGGAAAAGCACGTCAGAAGACCTAGAAAGAAAGTTTAAATTTTTTTCTTTTTACAATATAACATGATATTCAAAGGAAAGTTTAAACTTGAATATCTAGAGATTCGATTTCTTTCCACAACTACCTGAAATTGTCAGGGCTGCTTGAAAACTGCTTTGTTACCAGCAAATCCATCAGCACTGGCAGGTCATCTGTGGAGGCTTCAAATGCTGATGATGCCACCAATCTTTTTTCTTTGAGACAGCAAAGTCATTATATCTTAGTGTGATTTATTTGTACTTTTTTTAAAAATAGGTTTCCATTATTAATGGAGATCTTTACGTGAAATGGGGTAGCTTTAGTCAATTATCCTATTAATGTTATTTTAAAAAGTACTTTTGAACATTTTTAAGGTTATAGTCCATCAGGTTTTTTGATCATCTGATTAATACAGGTTATTATTTATGTGAGCATGACATAAAAAGCTACAAATTTTGAAATGTATGGTTGCTTTAGTTTTTTTTCAATGTGTCAATACTCAAGAGTAATAGCTTACATTAATGAAAATGATTTCAAAGTCACTTTTCGTTGATAAATGACATGCATTTTCTTTTTTCTTTGTTTGAGTTGGAGTCTCACTCTGTCGTCCAGACTGGAGTGCAGTGGCTGCTCCCAGCCACCGCAGCCTCGACCTGCTGGGCTCCGGCGATCCTTCCGCCTCAGCCTTCCAAGTGGCCGAAACTACAGGTGTGTGCTACCACACCCGGCTAGTTTTTGATTTATTGTAGAGACGAGGTCTCACCAAGTTGCCCGGGTGGGTCTTGAACCCGCGGGCTCAGGCAATCCACTTGTCTCGGCCTCCCAAAGTGCTAGGATTACAGGCTGAGCCACTGAACCCGGCAATGTGCATTTTCTATAAGCACACTGGCTTCTACTCCTAAAATACTCTGATCCTAGCCCAGACTTGAGCAGTAGTGGGTATCATTATGGACTTCATTCAAAGATGGTGCTAATTAGTGACTAAAGTTTAGAAGGGCCTCAGTTTAAAGCAATGTCACCACTAATGGGCCCAAAACTATTACAGTAAACAGTCTTATTCTTCAAAGCACCACATTTCCAAGAGATAAATACATTTCATGTAGTCAGTACAAAACAGCCCAAACCTTATGTTTAGATTCTGTAAGCAACAATTACTAAAGTTATTCTTCCCATTAATTCTGCTCTTGACATTGGTGAGACACATGTCTCTGCCATTATCATCATGTAAAATTATCCCTGCCTGTGTTGTCATGTAAAAAATGGAAAATAGGCCGGGCTCGGTGGCTCAGCCGGTAATCCTGCGCTTTGGGAGGCCGAGGTGAGTATATTGCCTGAGCCCATGGGCTCGAGACCCGCCTGGGCAACTTGGCGAGACCTCATCTCTACAATAAATCAAAAATTAGCCGGGCATGGTAGCGCATGCCTGTAGTTCCAGCTATTTAGAAGGCTGAGGTGGAAGGATCACCGGAGTCCAGCAAGTCAAGGCTGCAGTGGCTGGGAGCATGCCACTGCACTTCAGTCTGGGCGACAGAGTGAGACTCCAATTGAAAAAAAAAAAAAAGGAAAACATATGACTTCAAACCCATTGCAAGCCTACCTGAAAATTATTCAAGGATGTTATTTTTATAGATGCTAATTTTGTCACCGGTTAAATTTGCATCCATGTCCTAAATGTTCTAAAATGAAAATGTTTAACTTTTATGAATAACAAAAATTTGTTTTATTGTGAAATAAAGCATACATACAAAAAGAGTGCATAAAAATATGTACAGTTTAAAAATCAGCAATAAGCACCTCTGGACCCAGTATCAGGTTATGAATGGGCCATTATAAACCCCATCCTATCCCTTCTCGAATTACTTCCCTCTCCCCCTCCAGAGGTAATCACATTCCTGTGTTTTGTGCTAATCATGCGTAACACTTTTTACCCCATATATATGCATATATATATATATATATATATAAATATATATATATATATGACCCTAAACACTACATTATTTAGTTATACATGGTTTTAAGCTTTATATGACTGGAATCATGCTGTTTTCTTCTGTGTCTTGTTTCTTGGATTTATCCAGGTCGATGTGTGCAGCTGCAGCTCATTTCTGCTATTACAAGTTATTCTTCAGTGTGACCACACCACAACTTACTTGTCCATTTTAGAGTTCATAGGTACTTGGGTAATTTTCAATTATTTGCTATTATGACCAGTTCTACTATAAAGTCCTGCTACACATTTGTGAGCAGCAATGAAACTGCTGGGGTGAAGAGCATGTACTTGTTTACAGAGGTCTTGCAAAAAGATTCAAAAGTGCTCAAAGCTGTCTGAAATCTAAAATCTAACAATATTGTAACATTGTATATTGTCTGGATGTTCTCATAACATTTTTTGCCAGTCTCATGGGTGAGAAAATGGTATTTTGTTGTGGGGTTAATTTGCAATTCCCTAATAAGGTTGAGTGTCTCTTCATGTTTGCTTTTCATTTTCTATAAATTCAATTATTTTTCCCATTTGTGTACAAGTTTACCTTTGTTTTAAAAATGACATATAGGAGCTGATATACTCAAAATATGTCTATTTTCATGTGTCACAAACATCTTCTTCCAGTTTGCAGCCTGGCTTTTCTTTTTTCTTTTTTCATGGTGTCTTTTGATAACTAGAAGTTTTCAATTTTAACAGAGTCAAATTGATCAGTCATTTCTTTTGTGATCTGTACTGTGATTCTTGTTTCAGAAATCTAACCCTATACCCAAGGGCACAAAAACATTCTTTAAATGTTCTTCTCTGAGTTTCCGTTTTGTTTGTTATATTTTTCAGACCTTTAATTGACTCGAACTGGTTCTGAAGTATAACTTGAGGCAAAGATTCCATTGTACTTTATTCTATGTGGATAAATAATAATGCCAACACCATTTATTGAAAAGTCCATTATTTCCCCACTGCTCTGCAATACCGTCTCTGCTGTTCATATGCTGCTTGCTGTAGGCTTTTCGTAGGCACAGTTTGTTTTCTTCCTATTTTGGTAAGAGTTTTTATTGATAAGATTAAAATATTTTTCTCGGCCAGGCACGGAGGCTCAAGTCTGTAATCCCAGCACTTTGGGAGTCGGAGGTGAGAGAATTGCCTGAGCTCAGGCGTTTGAGACCAGCCTGGGCAACTTGGCGAGACCTTGTCTCTACAATAAAATCAAAAAATTAGCTGGGAGTGGTGGCGCATGCTTGTGGTTCCAGCTACCTGGAAGGCTGAGGCAGAAGGATTGCTTGAGCCCAGCAGGTTGTGGCTGCGGTAGCCATGAGAGTTCCACTGCACTCCAGCCTTGGTGACAGAGTAAGACTTCAACTCAAAAAAAAAGATTTTTCTCATTTAATCTATAAATAAAATGAAATAATTAATATTTTAGTGTTATATCAGCTTTGCATTATTGGAGTAAACCCAAGATGGTTAAAGAGTAAGTAGTACTAGTGAGTTCTTTTTCTCTCTCTCTCCACACAAACACACACACACACATACACACACACACACACACGCATGCACACACATTGTTGGTTTTGTTTCTTTCGAAAACCCTAATACATATATCATCTGTTATGAACTGAATTTTGTACTCCCCAAAATTCTTATGCTGAAGACTAACCCCCAATATGACTGTATTTGAAGACAAGGTCTTTAGGGAAGGTAAAGAGAGGTCATAAGGGAGGGGACCTAATCTGACAGGATCGGTGTCCTTGTAAGAAGAGGAAAAGACCCCAAAGATGTTTCTCTCTCCGTACATGAACAAAGAACAGGCCATCTACAAGCAAGGAAGAGAGGTCTCACCAGAAATCAATTATGACAGCAACTTGATCTCAGACTTCTAGTCTCTGAAACTGTGAGAAAATCGGTGTCTGTTGTTTAAGTCACCCAGTCTGCAGTATTTTGTAATAGTACTTTGTTTTGTATCTAAACCTACAAAAATAGTGTACTAGTCTGTTAAGGCTGCAGACTTATCTTTGAAGGCTTGTATCTCTAAGTGAGGCTAAGTTTAAAAAAGAATGGAGCTGGGCTCAGTGGCTCAACCTGTAAGCCCAGCACTTTGGGAGGCTGAGGTGAGTGGACTGCCTGAGCCCGCAGGTTCGAGACCTGCCTGGGCAACTTGGCGAGCCCTCATCTCTACAATAAATAAAAAATTAAGCCGGGCTCGGTGGCTCAGCCTGTAATCCCGCGCCTTTGGGAGGCTGGGGTGAGTGGATTGCCTGAGCCCGCGGGTTCGAGACCCGCCTGGGCAGCGAGACCTCAAATCTACAATAAATCAAAAAAATCAGCCGGGCATGGTAACGCATGCCTGTAATTCCAGCTACTTGGAAGGCTGAGTCGGAAGGATCACTGGAGTCCAGCAGGTCGAGGCTGCGGTGGCCGGGAGCGGCCACTGCACTCCAGTCTGGGCGACAGAGTGAGACTCCAACTCAAAAAAAAAAAAAAATTAGCTGGGCATGATAGCATGCGCCTGTAGTTCCAGCTATTTGGAAGGCTGAGGCGGAAGGATCGCCGGAGCCCAGTAGGTCGAGGCTGCAGTGGCCGGGAGTGGCTACTGCACTCCAGTCTGGGTGACAGAGTGAGACTCTAACTCAAAAAAAGAAAAGAACGGATGAGCATTCCCTATTTTTCTATCCCCTATGATGTTTGTTTGTTTTAAGGAACTGACCAATAAAACTATTTGGGCCTGGGATTTTCTTTATAAAATTTTAAATTACTGACTCCATTTAATGGTTACAGGAAATTTCAGATTAAGTATTTTTTCTTGGCCCAGTTTAAAGAAGTTATATTTTTAGGGATTTTTGCATTTAATCTAAGTTTTCAAATTTACTGGCTTAAAGTTATACAAAATAATTATTTTATGTTGTTAATGTCTGCAGCACCTAAGCACCTTTTTTCATTCCAAATATTGCTCATTTGTGCCTTTG